CGGTGTCTAAACAAACTAGAGCCGGTCCTGCAAGCGCGGCCTGCGCGGCGCGGCGCGGCGCCCCACGCCGCCGTCGCTTAACAAGGACCTCGTTATAATATTTTATTACGCCTCTCGTATATTATAATGCCATGCTGCGCCGCGCGAGAAGGTTTCCTGCGGCCGTAGAGGTCGAGGTAGCTTTCGCGCAGTCATGTAGTCGTAGAAATTTACTGCTGTGTTTCGTAGAAGGAATTGGGTACCCATACACTTTGGACTTCGACGGGGCCCATCGTGATCAACGAAGCCGTGATTGAAAACGCCGGTAGAATGACTTATCACGTTGTCAGTCGGATCCGCATATATTGACGAGAGTGTGTCTTGCTTTCGAGTCGCTTACAGCCTGGCTCGGGAAAGGAGGTATATGCAAAGTTTCAGGCATCGCGCGTTCGAACGCCACGCGTGAACCTCGAAGAATGCGACTCCGCCCGGCTAGAACGTCTATTAATACCTATTTACATTAAATCGGTACGTTTTCCTGCCGATTCTATTAGTCGACATTACACACAAAGTGTGCTATTCGCGCGCTTTCGATACATAAACTGCGAATTCTTTGAATATAGCGACATCGAGGAATATTTGGAGACGCTATCTACTCTCACGTAGCCTTATAATTTTTATCGTCGTGACAACTGAAAGTCAGATAAAAATTCTTTAAACAATCGTTGAAATTGTTGACAATTAAAGACTAAGTTTCTTTGTTATTTATTTCCATTTTAAATTTAATTTGCAAGAGACTTTTTTAATATTTAAACGAAAATATCTGTTTTTAAGAAAAGTTTACGATAATCTGAAGAGAATTATCTATACTATAATAATTATAATAATTATGTATAATAATAATCATGCTATACGGTGCTGATGGCTGTATCTGATAATTCTGTCGTTTAATTCCACAGACTTTATCGCATTATGGTTTGCCGAACGTTTGTGCTGCAATGAGGTCAATGAGATTGTTGTGACAGATACTAATACGCGGGGCTACAATAAACGGTGTAGCCAATTGCAACCATGCAATTTCGTGCGCAGCCATAAATCTTTATCTTTAATTACAACGCATCATTTGCGTGATTTAAAACGCTCAACAATCGCGCCTCCGATGCCCCTCGCGTTGTAATAAATTATTGAAGTGGAAACAATATAACTCGCCGCGTAACCGTTCGTTTTACATTATTGCTGCCACACCAGTCTCTCTCTCTCTTTCTCTCTCGCAATATTACAGTTATGTATAAATTTTACTCGACGTTTTTGCCATCGGCATTAAAGCATTTTAAAGATAATTATCAATACTCTAACGATGAAGTTTTACACACATTTTCTGTAATGGAAAGAGGATGCTCAAAGAGTTTTTGATCGTGTACAAATTTTAATTTTACTCATTAAATTTTGTTCTTTCGAATAGAATATGACGCGTGCATACAATTCACGTTTATTCAGCTCGAGATTCCAATTGCGTGCCAGTCGATACGTCGTCGACGACTCTGACTCCCGTGCGAAACATGCTCGAGACGCCGATCGAGAGGCGAAACGTGCAATCCCACGCGCGAACGCACTTTCCTCGAGGGCGGTCCCGAACGGGGTTCAGGTGTCGCAGGGTCCGCGCGTCACCCTGCACCCTCCCTCTCTCCCCCTCCCCCCTGTCGTACCCCACGATAAGAGGCAACGAAGCGAATGCTTTTCGCGGTCCAACGGCCCGAAAACGAATTACTCTCCGTCGTGAAAGTTACCGAGGAAATATTGGAAAGCCCCGCGCCGCCACACCTCGAGTGGTCCCCTGCATTCGTTTCCGGCGCGCGACGAATTCGTGTGCGCCGGGCCGAGCAACGATTTCTGACTAACGTGGGCCTACCGAATGAGATACGACGAGAGAGGCAGCGGCAGCGGCGATAAAGAGGATCGAAAGCGTGAGAATGGAACAGCCGGAATAGATCGGAAGTGAAAATGGCTTTATGTGGCACGCTCAATGGATGGCAATGTAAGATTACGTACGAAAAACGGAGCGCGATATTTATTCTTTGTAAGCGTGCCCTTTGAAGACTGCACATTGTATAAAACTCTGTTACTTCTGCAGCTTGAACGCGTACCGTAATTTCTCACAGACCTTTCAGCCATTGTTTCGACTAGATTCATGCGTTAACAATATCCGTTTTTCGCATACATTCCAAATTCAATTCTCCTCGGGATAAAGTCGAAATTAATATCAATACGATACGTACGATTTTAACATTTGTTTTAAAAAAATTTTTTAACTCTGATAATTATTTCGCCGCAGGATACAAAAATATATTCAGAGTTAGGAATAATGAATTGTATCCGCCTTAATTGAATGAAATGCTTTGTATCCGCGATAAGATACAATTTTATTCATATAAGAATGAGCAAAAAATTAATTCAATGAAATCAATTTTACGGGAAAACGAGACGGTAATGGAAAAGCAAATTGATGCATACGACGAGTGAAAGTTTCTATTCGTCTTTCAGGTATATTTCGGTCGGCGTTAGATGGCTTGCGGCCATAAATAGCTCCGAATTCTCTCGCAACAATTCGGAATGTCTGGATACGATGAGCCCGTAACGTAGCGGCGAGCGTTTCAACGCTCTGCCTTGCCCGGCTATTGACATTCGCTGATTATGCGTCGCGACGCGCGGTATGCTTCAATTACGGTGCGTGGTTAATGAAACAACTGCGTATAGGATGATGGCGATTATCCGTCGGTAGTTTGGCGCGATATATAATATAAACTGCCGACGATTATTTAACGTTCAATACTCGATTACAATCGCACACTGAGCGTTTCATCGTTGTATCCGAAATTGATTTTCGATGACAGCTTCTTAATTGTGTCTCGGACATAACGGACAGGCGGAGATTTAAGAGACGCGGATCTCTCCCACTGTTCTCAGTTATCTCATCGCAAAACAGCTTTATTTGCCGTAACACTGCACATTCGAATTAAATCACTGTCGATAATAAACGCCGTTAACAGCCCTGTCCGATAATTGCGCGTGCTACATTGGGAATAACCACAAAGTGGAAAACGATCGCTTTAAAAGGGAATTCCGATACGGAGATATGCGTGACGGCCAATTTTCCTGTTCTCAAGTCGTCCCTAACCGGATTTATACTTGAAATTATACCGGTTTTGTTGCAACCCGAAGTTATTACCGTGGAGCACAGAAATGAGGGACGAATGAAGTGCGAGGTTTTGCTCTCGTTGAAGGAATACGATTAACACGTAACCTCGGAAGAAATTGATGTTATTATATACTTCAACTAAAATGTAGCTCTCTGGTTTCATCGAGACGTAGTCAGTATAGCTCGTCGAATATGATGTCTCTTTGCGGATGTTGTGGATATTTTTATTTAAAGCTCCATTTTTTTTACGCCATGTTACGCCTTTGCGGCAGGAGTGTGCCACAGACCATAAAATTAGATGCTTTAGCTGACACGCAATTTATCTAACATTAAACGCAATCTATCTTTTTTACACGGTGTTTTTCTCATTTCTCTATAAAATGCAAAACGTATTTTTAATCGTTGTATAAGAAATATTACACGTGCGCGGGAATATACGGTATAGCGGGGTAATTTGAATAACAGTAAGCATTTGCAAGAATTTCAGAAAAACAAGAGATTTTAAGATACATTTCATTAGATCAGACATTAATCTAATGAAATGTATCTTAAAATCTCTTATTTTTCTGAAATTCTTGCAAATGCTTACTGTTATTCAAATTACTCCGCAGTATCCTATGCCAATTTAACACATAAACGATGTTCAAAACAGCGCAAAGTATTTGAGAAGCACAATCCAAATTCTACATTCAAAAATGACAAACGGTAGCAATCACAGACTTCTATAGAATATGTAGAGTAGCAACGCGCAAATATTTTAAAGAAGATAATAGTGTCTAAAGCATAAACTTTCTGTTTTGTGTTCGTTTATATATTTGTATGGCAGTTTAAAGGTCCGAGTTTATTCTTTTGTTTAAGAAAAAAGGTTACCATGTTTTTTATCATTTGTCAGGTTCAATCATATGTTAATGTATCTTTAAAAATTTGTAGATTTTATAAATCGGTTGCTTTCGATGTTTAAAATAAAGTTCACCTTTTTCGCTTTTAAGAAATAATGTTCTATATATTTGTTTTATATAATTCCAATTTTTTACGCGTATATAATATTGCATTAAGATTAATATATATCTTTGTGAATTGTGTGCGATCAAGCTTTCGAAAATTTATTAGTGATATCAATTCTTATATCACTTTGGAGTATATTGAACTCCGCACAAACAGTGGCAGGATCTTCTTTTTGTGCTCTTTCGTTGATACTACTATCTTCCACGGAGGCGAGATAAGTTATGCATCGAAGGAAACTGCATGCAATAAGTATATACGTATCGCAAAGAAACTTCTCTCATTGTCGCTTATCATAATTCGAACTTACCTTATTTTCTCTGAACTTTTAAATTAAATCTAAATATAGAAAATTGTTTGAATCCCTATAATTGGTTAATATTATTCCATAAATGAATGCGACTTTTTAAAAAATTAACTTGTAGTTTTTTTTAAATTGATTGCCTTTGACACGTATTTACAATTAAATTAAATTAGGAAAGTTAATGTCGTCATAAAAACTTATTTATTTAATATTTCAATTTACATATTTTCTCTCTCTCTCTCTCTTTCTCTCCCTCTCAACAATTCGATTCAATTAATCTATATAAAAACGTGTGCAAGTAGGAAGAAAAGAAAAAGCGAGCATAACGATTGTTTCTTTATCGGAACATCACTGCATTCATGGGTATTCGTTAAACGGTGCAGCAGGACAATAGCCGGCGAAGCGGCTGAACGAACACGCGGCCTCCTACTTTCTCTCTCTCTCTCTCTCTCTCTCTCTCTCTCTCGCCTCTTCATTGCCTTACGAGTGTTGCCAAGATTCAACAAAAAAACTTCTTACCCAGTAGCTTGCGAACCTCCGCGTGGCCGAGGAAGAGATTGAAGTAACCCGCGGCTGGCCGCGCGACGACGAACAGCAGTATCACGAGTCGCCAGAGCATCGTGGCAGCCACGTGACGTTCGTACTCGTAGATATATTTACGGCCGCAGCACGCGAGAACACCCGCACAGCACTCGTTACGAATTGTCCCACGTTGCGCCGTTCATATTTCGCGCGATGCAAATCTTGCCGCGCGGGGCGGGTGGCGGCCACGCCGGCAAAACCACTCCGCGTGTGCACGTGACGGCTTTTTTCCCCGGTCGCGTTTCGATTCCGCGCGAAAACGCGCCGGTCTCCCGTTTGACAGCTCGCGACACGGCACGCGCGTTATACCCGACGCGAGGGGCACTCCCACACGCGAGAAACGCACGCTCCAGGCCGCCACGGCGTACCGATGCTCCGCGACGCGCCGTCGAGCGAGACGCGCCGTATGACGAAATCGACAGGACGGTACGGCAACACGGAATGGTGCGAGCGGAGCGGAACGCTCATCGAGAGCGCGCGGCGTGCCTGCCTCGTGAAAGCCACAACCAGTTGTGTGCTACCATCGCCATGGGTCGTCTGGGGTCGGAGCAGGCCTGTCTACCGAGAGCGGCCGAGTACGGCCGAGGTTTGCCGAGGTCCACCTACGAGGGAACCCAATGGGATGGTCTTGGTCGTGGTCGTGGGTCCACGACCAAGAGAGATCGAACGGCCGCGCTCGAACGAGACCGGAATTGAATTTAAAATTCACTGACGGCGATATCGCGCGAGCGCGAGTCGGAGGATCGGCGAATAAAGTACGCGCTAAGCACAAACAACCCTTCCGTTGTTTGCCAATCAACTTAGTGCACGATAGCCGAGCAATAGTAGGCTGGCGGAAAAAAATTGAGATCGCTCATTTTGCACGCTGCAAGAAGATTCCGAGAATTTAATTTGGATCGTGCGTGTCATCCGTCACCCGCTTGTACCTGCAGCTGCAGTTTTTTGCGATTTATCAACCGTTAATTGTCGGCCTTTAATCATTTAACTTCTGTCGTGTTTATCGGTAACCATTGATTTAGTTTAGATCGAGATTTAGATCTACGTGACGAGCATGCAACGTGCTCCGATAAAATATTGATCAAGATCCGTGCTATTTATATCCATTCAGAGGCATTTATCGATTAGTTGTGACAGAACTATATGATAAATCTTTGGACGAAATGATGCGTGCGCATGTAAAGGCGAATAAAATTAAATAATATCGACGATTCTTCAAATATCGTATATTAAAATCCCCCATTCGAGACTTGGAATGCGTCACACAATACCAATCGGAGGAAACATGAGCAATCGATGTCCTTTTATCGATTGATATCCACGTCTTTTATGATCACTTAGCTTGTTATATATTGCGTTGTTAGCCGTGGAAAATCGAAAGCATAACAGCACTCTCGCAAGCAATAAATTTCAGGACCTTTATTCACGGTACTTCGGTAACAGGCTCCGTCACGTGTTACCTGAAGTTGAAAGTCGCACCTTATTCTGCCAGGTAGGCCACTTCGTTTTCTTCTTTTCGCTTGCGAGAGGCGTATAATACCTTGCTATCCAATTAACCGGTGCCAATCGCCAAAGAAAACAAAGTGAAAATCTCTTTTATTGTCCTTTTTATTCTTTCAACATGATGCTTTATACTGATTCAATCTTCCCGAGGATAAACCAAATTGTACCAATGTTTCATACGTTTTGCATATTGCATCGATACCATTAGCTGTCGTAATCGCAAATTTAAATTTCCCTTCTCTTATCGAATAACATGTGTATATATTAACTAGAAATATCAACCGACGTAATTTTACTATTTTTATAAAATAAGAGTAATCGTTCAACTATAGCTCGCAGAAGAAATAGATTAATTCGCCGCGTATCCAGCCTTGTTGATCAATTTTCTTTTGATCGAAGTTGTATTTCCATATATTATATCTGCACAAAATTGCTATGCAGAAATCAGGATTAGATATAAATCATATACGTTCTGACTGTGGAGAGGTGTGCTGGACTGCTGGCAGAGTGAACGCTCGACACACATGTCAAATTATTGACGATAAACTACGCATTTGATCACACTGTTCTCCTTCTCCCCTCCCTCTTCGATCATTTTATTGGCGGGAGCGACTTATTTTTATACTGAAAGACGTATGCGTGCCCGCGCGCCCTGCGAACGCGCAAAATGTGGAAGACGAGGCGCTCTCGAATTTCATCCCGGAGGAATCGGGGGCAGTTGGAATCCATCGTTCATTTGCATAATTCGAGATCGACGACGGATAGGAAGAACGCCCACGTAGCTGCGTCGAATCACGATCGTCTTACGGGTCCACCTCTCCTTCTTCCTGTCTACCAGGACGTGCTTGATTACCAAACGCCGTTATTACCGGACGATGCACGAGCGAGGGGTGGGGAGGGGGAGAATGAGGGGCGGGGGAGGCGCGGGGGGTACCAGGACTCGTTTTGCAAATTCGCGGTTGATTGAAAAGCTCGTGCGGCATAAAAACCGAGAGATAACTGCGGCAGGAGAAATGAGGGAAAAAAGTCCGGATGATTACTCTCTTACCGTATAGCATGAGCCCAGGCGGCACACAGGATTCTGCCTGTTAACGGGCTCCTATCTGACCGATGGTGGTCGGCGGATACGCGCCACGACGATGGGTAAATTCGTACGATAGATTCTTACGTGCATCCTTTCTCCTTTTTGGTCCGCGCATCGTCATCGTGCGGGGCTATTAACTTAATATCGACGATTATACAGTTACATGAGTTACCGCGTTTAATATTTTATATCGCCGATGCGAAGGATGCTTGTTTGCTCGTCGTCTCGGTATCATAACGTCGCATCGGTACGAATTACACGTTGCTAAAAATTAAAAAAATATATTGGTACAAGGATTCACGTGAACGTAATAAGAATAAAGCTAAATTAGAGCTGTGCGGTAATGAAATTTTATAATATTTCATTTTTATATTAAACAGATTACAGAGTAGTTATGCTAGTAATAATAATAAATCGCTATTTTTCTATGTTTAATTAGAGCGATAATAACTATACCTACTTCTGGAGAAACTCTATTTCATAGGCAAGGAATTTCCGCTATTTTTGCAAGTTTCTCATTAATAGAATGAAAAATAAAAAATATATAGAGTTACGTTCTATATATGTACGCTGTTTAGAAAAAAAAAAACACGTAAATTGTAATAATCCCGATGTCTAATAATAAGTAAAGTTTAGATATCTAACTGCCTATGCTAGTCGGCACGTGAGCACAATGTACAATGGTTTTCAAAGCGGTACAGCTGATATCATAAACAAGACACCGCAGTGCGCGGCACGAAGCGCGGTTTAATCTACTGCAAATACAGGGCGCTTCGTTTAAATCAAGGCAATGTCAGGAAGAGAGAACGGACCCCTTTGTCGGTTCTAATCTGTACAAACAGTCGTATATCTAGCGGCCGTCGGCCAAACTTTCGGTTTATCCGAATTTATCCTAGTAGCAGCTTCTGGAAAATATCGCGAGGCCTGAGACTCACTTACTACATCTTTTTTTGTACATTTTTTCATTTACGATTAATTCGTACATGTACGCAATCTGTATCGTAAATAATTTTATATTTGCTCTTATTTAGCAGAGTATTTAGCAAAATACGTTCGTGTGCAGCATATCTGTGCTATATTATTTTATAATATAGAAAATTAGATAGAATAATTGAAAAATTTATGTCAAAAGGAGAGAGAATTTATTCATCAATGTGATATCGCGTTTTATGCGTTAAAAGTAATCGAATCAATCCCCACGGTAGTCCATTTTAATATATATCTTCAGATGCAAGAACGTCCTCCTCTGAGAGTCTCATTCTTTAGGCAGCCGTCGTAATAGTACATCATTAAGCAAACGCAATTACGCGCTTCACAAGGAACAGCTTTTAGTAGAAATGAGGTAGCGCACTTTTGGACCGCGGCTTTTACGTCGACGCAGTCAACGCGACGGGGTGCCCGCGCGCATACACAGGGTATATCAGAAGAAGGTCCCCATCCATCTAGCGAGAAAAAGAGTGTGAAAGGGAGAGAGAGAGAGAGAGAGAGAGAGCTCTGTGCATTATCACGCCGTTTCCGTTTTACCATACTTTCTTTGCGCCGATCGCGGCACGGCCTCCAATTAACGCTTTCCGCGGCGCTCAAAAGACCTGCAGACGGTAGCACCGAAAATGGATTAAAGCGCGCGCGCCGTTTGCTATACCGCCTTTTACAACGTTTGCAGACAGCGGCGTATATATGTACGTTGGCAGTCGCGCTGGCAATTCGCCGCGCCGTTCTCTATTCGGTTCCGACTATTTTTCACAATGCCGCGAGCATATCAAAGTACAAAAATTTATGAAATGCGACGAAGAAGAACCGCGTACGAGGTTTCTCATTTCATATATATATATATATATATATATCCGATATACCTGAACGATATGACGCGAGATTTCAACGAGACATTCGATACATCGCCGTCAGAACTCGCGTGGGAGAGACATAAAGCACGGTTATTCGAATCCTTTCGGAACGGTGCCTCGCGATTGGTATCGCCGGTGCGCGGAAGAGCGTGTGCGCTTCGAGAAAGGATGGGATATATATCGGATTTAGTTTTTCGCCGGCGAATCGATCAGCTTGAACCCATCTGACCTCCGCGAGGACGTAAAGGGTTGAAAGTAGGAGAAGCCGCGCGGTACGAAGGGAGAAGGGCGCGGAAGCGAGCGAGGGGGGAGGGGGAGGGAAGAGGAGCACGAGTCTGAAAATAAGAAGATATAGATAAAAAGAGCTGGGGCTGCGCACGTTGGCCTAACAAGACTCAGGACTCAGGGGCTATTATCATAATTGTGGGCTGCAGGCAGCGGCTGTGCCCACAAACCAGAATGCCTCTTGTCTCATCTACCTTCGTCCTCGCCTTCTTCTTCTTCTTCTTCTTCTCCTCCTTCTCCTTCTTCCCGCGCTTCTTCCTTCCCCCTCGCGCATTTCTTCTTCTTCGCGGCTTTTTACTTAACCTTCGTTCTCTCGCGTTTCGCGCGTCCCTTAGCCGCGTCCCTTCACATGCTCTAAAGACAAATGAAACGGCCAACCACGTTCAGCCTCCTTGTTTCGCATTTCCATCTAAATTAAGAATGCGATGAGTAATCCGCGCGGCGCGATCCGATGCGACGCAATGCGACGCACAAAAAGATCTTCCGCGATGCGAAACGGGATCGTTCGACGCGGTGTTTATTGTAATTGGTAAACGACACACGTCTCTAACGAAAATACTGTATAGGTAATATCTTTTAGGCACACGGTCGCGGAGATTAAGCTTTTACGCCGTAACATTTTTTAAACGATGCGTAACTCAGCGTAGTGCTAATAAGAAATATGAACTACCAATCAGGACTAATTATATGGGATGCATTATTTAGGTGAAATTACAGACGGTTCGGATGCCTTCCGAACGTTCGTTATTAAATTCAACTATGTATGTATGATGTGGATCCTTCGACGTGGACCACCCTGAGGTGAAACGCAAACAACCCGTTTCTCCCGCTCTTCACAAAGAAACCAAGTGGAACGCTCTCGAGGTTCCCCTTTTTTCGATCTCGATCGTGGCAGAAGTCGAGATATTTTTGATGAGCGTACTCTTCCTTTCTAAACAAAATTTAGTATTCTAATATTCTAACATTCAAAATTTAGTACTTTTTTTTCTGTTGCCATCCATTATATCAGTATAATGACATAATGATGAGATACATTGTAATGCTTGTTGTTGTATAGTCATCGAGATGTTTTTTCAATTGTATAAAACTACATGCAACGCAGAGTTTTACAAGTCGTTTAGTTCTTTATTGCGCAATGAAATCCAATTATCTTCCGCTCCAATTACTGTGAAGAGATAGAGAGAGTGAGAGAAAGAAAGTGATAGAGAGAGAGAGAGAGTGCATCCTCTCTTCTATTTAATTCCTGTTATTTAAATTGCAAATTCGTAGTCTTAAAAAGATTGTGAAATGAAAAATTACAACATACGTTATTAATACGTTATTAATTCGTTGTTAACGAAATTGGATGTTATTATTTGAGATTTTAAATTGATCTTCTACTTTAGATATCTGATCTTTTCTCAAGTTATTAAATGTGATCAAATGTAGATATTGATTTCAATCCCAATTAAGAATAATATTTCTTGCATCTATAAATAATTCTTGTAGAACAATCGAATATTTATATAATACCTTATTTTTTCTCCTTCTAAATTTAAAATTAACATTTGATTGAATTTCTTAAAAATACACTATAAAATACATTATGTAATTCCCTTAAATAATCCGAAAAAGTTACTATGTTTTAACTGTAAATACAACTGTATACTACAAAATACTTGTTCTTGGATTCTCGGCTCGAGAATTGGGAAGGCATCCGACCGTCTCCTTTTCAAACCGGAGACGAGAAGTCAGAAGCAACTGGCAGGTGCGCGATAGAATATCTGTTTTCCTTTAAATTATGCGAAATAAGCAAATATACTTCAGCCTCAAATTGTTGCACGGTGTGTCGAAAGAGCATTTTTTTCCCATTTGTTTCCCGTGCACTCTTTCAGCGAGAGATGCCAGGGGCGTGTATGTTTGTTTAGCCTCGGTGTACCCTGTTATTAGAGACCGCTGCCCGTGCCCCTCGTGAACCGTAGGGCCCACGTCGAGATTTGGCCGCCGTGAGCCCGATCATGCATCCCCCTTTCCGCCCTTCGTCTCATCGTTCCCCCTCCCCCCCCCCCTCTCTCTCATCCTCCTTGCTTCATTTCGTGCGTAAAAGAAGGTTCTCGAGAGGAGAGGAACGACGAGATAAATTCGGAAGGGGGTCCCTCTGGCTCCTAGCAGATTCTCTGCTCTCTAGATCTTGATTTAGATTCTACCGCGTTTTAATTTATTACAAGCGATGGCGACGATTATACGGAAACGAGTCTTCGGCTCGGGAGAATACGCCAATTTTCGGCCCATGCGAATAAAAGGAGAGAAAAACGAGCTAAAGGAACAAGAAGCGAAGCTCGTACAGCGGAGTATTAAAGAGGAGATTCGGAAATTTAAGTGCGTTCGGATACTCACTTAAAGTGCAAAGAATTTCTTCGAATTATTTCAATTCCTCTTCATCTCATGTACGCAATAAGACTTTCTGTTCTTTCACGAAATATAGAGGTGAATGATTCTAAATTTTAATTTCAAACTCGCGCAAGCACATAATTTATCATACGCAATATTCTCTGATTATGTATAACTTTTCTTCTTACATATCTTATAAAATTTTGAAAAATTCAATGGACTTTTTAAATTTGTCTATAGCATTTCAGCTAAATCAAATGTTTCCTCATTTTTTAAACTTATTTGTTACTTCGTACATAATATTAACGTCACGTATTTATGTCAGAATTTATATACGAATCTGCGCACTCGTTGGAAGTGGGAGACAAATCCATATATTTTTTTGCGGTGTGATTCGTGGGATCGCGCGACTCCTCTTTCTCTCGATGCACAATGCATCCCTGATGACATATCCTGCAGGCCCGCAATTGAATAGTGTTCTGTTTGCGCGGATGGCACGTGACAATGCCCGAAGACCCGTCTCGCACGCGACCACACCCCGTCGCTGTTATTTGTTTAATTTAAGGGTATTGTTGCGCGCGCGGTGTTTTCGTCGGTCGCCCGCGCGCTCGATTTATTTCGGCCACGGTCATTTCCCGCATTTTTAACGTGGGAGACACCGCCGGGGTCACCCGCGGGTCGCGGATCCCAGCGGGTGTCGCCTGATCTCGATCACATTCGCAATTCGGTGGACAGCCGCGAACGGCGCGAACTCGTGCGACTCAACGACGACACGGTCGCGCGGTCGATTATTATACTCCTCTCCCCCCCCCCGGAACTTTTACCGCCCCATTAATGAAACTTTTTACGTGACCATTTATTAGCGTCCCTTCCCGGCGATAAATAAACGCTGTACGTGTCGCCATCACAGCATGTATTATGCATGCAGTATTACAAAGCGGATGCTCGCCCGTGCGTAAATTATCGTTACGCGGATAACTTAATGGCCGGCTAAATATTTCTCGCGTCGTTTTTGCATAATTGGATTTTCATAACTGGTTCGCGAGATGATTTTTTTTTTTTACCGGCCGATACGTCGATTGTGCAGGTAGAAAGGAGCTTTTGACTCCTCCGACGTGCATCGCGCGATCTTACAACGAAGCCTGGCACTCGTTGGAATCTTTACTGGCCTTTGCAGCCATGGATAAGGTTCTGCGTGTAGCCAATGGGCCCGACAGGCCCAGCGATAATTGAAGAATGCTGCATGATCAATCGTCGATGATTGAACATCATTTATATGTTTTAGATTTTTTAGAATATCATATGCAGAGTCACTTATCTCGTTGCAATAATGAGTAAAATCGTACAACTACGGAAATAAGAAAAGAAAACGAATTCTCATATCTCCCTAAAAATTTCCCATTTTTATGTACATTCTTTAAATGTGTAAAAAAATAGATACAATAATGAAATATAAAATTATAAAATATATAGCACGATGGTCAGATAATTAACGAGATGTGATCTGAGAAGTAGTAATGACTTATTCACAGATTATGTTCATAATTTTCAAAATTAACATAAATTATTGTTGTGTGTCAGTCTCAATTATAATATTATAAATAAGTAAATATATGTAACAAATTAATTAGATTAACATGAAGAACGTATAAAAAAGGCATATAAAATATATAGATATAGCTGTAAACGTTGAGATACAAATGTAGATAACACATGCATCTTAATTAACACTTTGATCGCAAGATCATATATTATTCAAGCAAAACATTATTTTTAACATAAAATAAACATTTATTTTTTAATTCTTGCCCAACAAAGCAATCTTGGACACAAATTTTTATAAGAATAGTATTTTATAACATTTTTAATTTATACTGAAGTATATACTATATTTTTATTTTATAAATATTCTTTTATTTTTTGTTTTCTATGTCAATTATCATATACAAATTAACTCGTATCTCGCGATCAAAGTGTTATCAATGCAATTATACATGATTATGCTCATTACGTATTCATAATGACGCGTACTAATATAATAAAGATTCGGAATCCTTTAAATTATAAATTTTTAATTGTTTTTAAATTAAATTGGATTAAAGTTTAATTTAAGTTAAATTTCATTATCACGAAACAGTATGTTCAATTTTTCAGGTAAATTGCATTAAAAATCACAGTCATATAAGAAAGAGACAGAACGAGCGAAAAATACAACTTTTTAACATTGTAACTACGCAGTATTTTGTGCTTCGAGTGCAAGATAAATAAATATTCACAACAATCCTATTAATTCAAGTGCATTTCACAATACTCGTTACACAATCATAATACTTGCGCAATCGTCAGCAAAGCCAGCATTTGCTGGCAATAAATATTCTTATTCGCAATTCAAGGAATCGTGCATAAAGCATCGCAAAACAAAAATACATTTTTCCCCGAGTAGATTTCTGTAGAGATCCATCGGTCATCCTTAATGCGTAGCCGGGCAATTTTTCTGATCTGTACGAATAAAGTATGCTCTGCTGATGTTGTTCTTGTCGATAACTTGATAAGCCTTTTCTACCACTGGGACTGGCGGTTTTGGCTCTCGCGTCAAAATCCAAACGTTTCGTACACTGCAAGAACGCATTGTAATTTTAACAATCCAGCAAAATTGTTCTGTGATCTAATCTAATATCTCTGAGATACTTTTCCGAGGGTAGTCTTAAAAACATTAATGTATAGTTACACTAAAAAATCAAGGTTCTTTTCTACTTATTTAGCAGCATTAAAATGTAAAGTTGATATAAAACGATAAAAGCATACAGGAAATATTTATCGAAATTAACCTTGTTTTTCGGGCAAAAACTTGAATATACGTCGCATAAAAAAATGCTTATTATATATTATATATTTTTGCTACATTCTTTTCGCACCGCAAAAACTTACTTGAGGACTCCGAGATTTGTACAGCTCCATACTACGGCATATGATTTGTAGTCCGTGTCTAGAACCCAATAAGGTGCATCGAACGGCAGTGGCAAGGATGGAAAAGTGACGGACAATTTAGGATCGTCGGATCTGCCAATTAACCTTCCGACGCCCTCGATACTCGTTGCAACTCCAGTTCTACAGCAAGGGAATAGAGCTTTACTCTAACAATAAGTGGATAATTGTCGATTGACGGTGACGTCATGTCATTGCCGTGTCGTTGTCTCTCTCGCTCGTTTAATGCCTTGAAATTACTTAACGATATTACAAATTACCGTTGCGTGTTGTACTCACAGTGAAGAAATTTGTTTGTTGACGATCTGCACCGATGCATTTTCACTCAGACTGTAATTAGCTGTCACACATTTTCCACCAAATTCAAACCACGCGAAGTACCTCTCGACTTCGTACCATTTGCCCAAATACTAGAAAAGAAAATCTGTGATGTATCCGTGATTTAAAAAGGAAGTATCTTTTAAAATATTGCTCTACATTAAATATAGTTGTAAGTCAAAATAACGATTGTTCCGATACTCACTCTATCGAGTTCGAAATTTTGCATTGCTTCCAAGTTTGGACAGTTACCCAAAAATGGCACCTGCGCCATCGCCGCATTCGCGATAATAACGATTAAAAATATCCGTAACATATTTATTTTCTGAAAAGAGAACATATAAAATATTTTGGTGTACAATAATTTTGTCGCGTTTTTAAACGAAATAAATTCAACGCAAAATCTGACGTTTCAGGGAATGATATTTAAAGAAATCAAATAGAATCTTTTACTTATTATATCGCGTGTGTACATACACGCATACGCAGAAACATTAATTTAGAATAAGAGATTAGATAGAGATAATATTAATCTCATTTCAAACAAAATGTCTTACTTTATGTTGAAATACATTAGAGCTGCCTATACACACCGGAAAACCAGCGATCTTATTAAAATTCTTCCAACAGATAATCACCATTATGATAACACGCTTCGTATTATCATAATGACGCACCGCTTAAAGAATTTTTACGAACCAATTCGTATCGACTTGGGCACTTTGAAGATATTTCTTTGTGCTCTTTTCTTTCGTGTTTTCAAAGTACACAGTTACTAACCTTGAAACGCGCAAGAAAATGAGGAGAAACGGGTGCGTCTTTTATATCGCATTCTCGCGTACGTTAGTTTCTAAATTGATGATATCACAATGCAACGCTGTTCTGCATGACAGAATAATTTTTAAACGAAATAAGTTCAACGCAAGTGACGTTTCAGGGAATGATATTTAAAGAAATCAAATAGAATCTTTTACCTATTATATCGCGTGCATACATACACGCATACGCAGAAACATTAATTTAGAATAAGAGGTCAGATAATATTCATCTTATTTCAAACAAAATTTCTTACTTTATGTTGAAATACATTAAAGCTGCCTATACATACCGGAAAACGAGCGATCTTATTAAAATTCTTCCAACAGATAATCACCGTTATGATAACACGCTTCGTATTATCTTAATGACGCACCGCTTAAAGAATTTTTTACGAACCAATTCGTATCGACTTGGGCACTTTGAAAATATTTCTTTGTGCTCTTTTCTTTCGTGTTTTCAAAGTACACAGTTACTAACTTTGAAACGCGCAAGAATATGAGGAGAAACAGGCGCGCGCTCTTTTATATCGTCTTATCGCGTACGTTAGTTTCTAAATTGATGATATCACAATGCAACGCTGTTCTGCATGACGTACCTCATAACGTATATAAATGCGTTTTACTTGTCGATCCAGTTTTTGTCATTCATGTTGCATAATCTGTGTTGATTTCGCTTTGTGTTATTGTGTTAATTTACTTACAAGTGCTAAGAATGGTGCATTAATCATTTCGAGTATCATCATTACTTTTTTTTTTAACGCACGAGCAACTTGAAATTCATATTAGCATAGATATTTTCTTACGATATGACAACATTGGACACGAGTCAAGCGCTGTTATGAAAAATTATACGTATATAGACGCGGGTTGTTTAAGCTCGCGGTCGACCTGATTTCTAATTCTCCGGTCTCTTTAATTCATCCGACAAGAGGTTATTTGCGCAAGTAGTTCAGGGAGCAATTTATTGTTAAGAAATTCAGAGTAGAAAGGGCAAGAGAGAAGCAGCAACCTCGATGCAATACATCGGCAATGCGATCTAAATACGGCACTCACCTGACAGCCTTGACCCTGTCGGATATTCAGAGAATACGCGTGGAATGTCAATTTTTGCGAGATTGACGGGGGATTAGCGCCGACACTTCTCGCGCGGCGGATCGTTCGTAGGTGACTGGACTTCTTGCTCCGCGGTTCGCCTCGGTGCTCGTCGGAGACGTACCCGCGAAGGTTGACTGGGCATGTTTGGCAGAGTACTGACAGTTAGTGGGTCAGTAACGGTACGCCCGGGGTTCAAGAAACCCGGCTCGAATTTATCATTGACCAATAGATTGATCGACAGTTTCGAAGGCACGGATCATTTCATGATCGGATGCGATGGACCACTTTTGTGAGTCGCTCGTTTGCGTTCGCCTTTGGATTTCGCAGTAATGACTTATCGGTAACCAACGCAAAATATTATCTACAAAATAAATACGTGTTTAGTACATCATATAATGAATAACTTATTAAAAATAAACTCATTTTAACAGCATGAATATTCCGCTTCGTACACGGAGAGAATTTTCTTTTAAAATTTACCCTGAAAATCATGTTAATTGTGGGACAATATAGTATTTAGGCAAATTTTACTGTGTACTACAATAAATTTTACTGCGAAATCCTATTGTAGTGCACAGTAAAATTTGCCTAAATACTATATTGTCCCATAATTAACATGATTTGCAGGGTAAATTTAAAAAAAAATTCTCTCCGTGTATGTTTACGATACAGATTTTCGACGGCTTCATATAGCAATATTTATGGAGATTCGCGGATTAAGCATATATCAATGCACTATGGAGTATCGAATTAATCTCAATTATTCTATACATACAGCACATTTGAAAAGAAAGATAATCCGTTGAAAAAAATAAATTTTGAAATCAATATATATTTTTTACATTATATTTATACGCAAGATATTAAAATTCTCTTTCGAATGTTCTTTTACATTTTCAAATGCAAGAAAAATATCCTGTTTAAACCCTTTATTTCTGCTTTATTGGCACTCGGGTTTAGAGCATTAACTTAATCATTTTTGTTTAACGTTATATCGATGTTTCGTCGATCTTAAGTGATAGTTTCAGATCGATATATCATTATTATTAAAGATAAAATTATTAATGATACGAAAAATATATATCCGTTATGTGACCTGCTTATATTTGTGCTCACGATGAAAACGTTATGACACATTTAGCTTTTACTAGCATCACATCGTGATGCGAAAGCTAAAAAGACTTTCCAAGAGTTCAAGTCTTGCATTTTCTCTCACATGATACGACTATGCACGGCACATATAAACTATCGCAGTAAATTACGAGTATTATAGCTAGAGGAATTTTAGAAGAATAAATGAATAATTTCAGAAAAAAAAATTTTTTTTAACAAAGTTATACGTCTCATTAATCAAATATTATTCTTCATTAATCAGATATAATTACGCGAGTTAATTTGCAATGATTAATTTACGCTGCATTTAGTTTAATTAATTAATTTTACACGCATTCCATTATATCTACGCAGTGAAACGGGAGTAATAAATAGACGAATTTATTTTATTAAGACATTTTTTATAACAATTTTATTTATCTTTATTTATCTTTGTTTCTTTTTCTTTTTTTTTTACATTTGTACGTAAGCCTATAAAACAAAGCGCCGTGCCAACCCTATGTTCTCAAGCGACAGCGACAACGACGACGACGACGACGACGACGACGTGCCGATGGAACAGTGATTAATGATTTTGCGGTACTTAAGCGAGACTGGTTCTCAATTAGAGGAAACCGCTACGAGCCTAAGACATCGAAAATCCCCGGGAATACGACCCTGCTAGCGCCAACTAACAGACTTTTTATTTTTTTTTTATTTTTTTATTTTAGCTAAATAATACTTCTAAGCAATTGTTTCCGTCTCCTTCGAAAGCTCGCTTTTCTCCTCCTTCGGATTTTCCGCGACGTTCTCCTCCTTGACCTCGACAATGATCATTTTATCCCTCGTGTCGCCGGTCTCCTCCTTTATCGCCTCTGCTATCTTCAAGATCCGTTCGGGAACTGTTTCGATGGGCTGCTCGAGCTTCGCGGGTTCCTCCGCTATTATCTTCGGGATATCGGAGGGCGCTTTCTCACCCGTAATCCCGGCTTCTGCTACCTCCTTCTCCTTTATCTCGGCATCACTCAGATCGATGGCTGCTCTCAAACCCTCATTCTCGGCTGGCTGCGGTTTCCGTTTTCGCTTCTCCGTGGCGGGCTTCTTCGCCTCCTCCGGCTTCTTCGTCTCCTCGGACTCCTCCGTCGACTCCTCCGTCGAGTCGAAATAGGCGCATTCCGCCTGATCGGTTTTCACGAAGAACGTCTTCGATATCTTGTACTTATCGAGAACGCCATAAGCCTGCGACCGAAATGAGATTTTAAAATTTTGTAATAATGACAATAATTCTGGGGCACATATGTTACAATATTGTTACTGTTATAATAATTTTAAAATGTAAAACTTGCTAATATATTTTATGTTAATGTTTTTTTTTTTTTATTTTATTAAGCCTACGTACCTTTTGAAGCACTTTTCCGGACGGAATCCGTTCTCTCGTCATGACCCATGCATTTTGTGCGTGGACCGGGCCAATACCTTGACAACTCCATAAAACGGCGTACGAATCGTAATCGGTTTCGAGTACCGAGTACTTAGTCTCGGGAGTCAGTGGAACTGTGGTATACTTGACGTGAAGTTTACCCTCCTCGGCCTTGGAAGCTGCAGGCTTAATTTCACCCTCCAGTATCCTCTTTACGCCGGTGCTAATTGCCAGAGGTATTATTAGTTAAAATCTCATTATATTTTATTATATTCTCATATTTTTTATAATACAAAAATTTATCAAAACTAGAGAAAATATGTATACTTACAAACGATTCGTAACTTGATTGCTCACGCGGTATTTGCCATCGATACCTCTGGTATAATTCGTCATAACGCATCGAGATACCACTTCACTAAGTTGGAAGTATCTCTCGGCCTCGTACCAAACGCCCAAGAACTGTAAGACAATCGAATATCCGTTTATTTGAAGTCAGAAAAATGTAACGCGCTGTTAACTTTTTAATTAAATATCGCCAGTTATGCGCAGACAACACAAATTGATCCATCAGATCTATCAGAGAAAGCAAATATCAGAAAAAATTAAATTTCTTAGACATTCGTCCGATAACTGAAGACATGTATATTCTGTATAAATGCACATAACATCAAACATTACACAAACAAAATAAAACCGAATGTTTACGTGATAATGCACAAATTGGCGAATGAAATAATTAAGTTAATGAAATAATTACTCACCCTTTGCCTATTAAAGTTCGCCATGGGTATATATTCTGGGCAGAAGCCCAGATTGGGAATCTGGGCACTGGCCCAGGCCAGAGCCGAGAGTGCTAGGATGATCTTTCCGAACATGTCTGACGATGATCTGCCTCGAACACCCGTCGACGCTCCAACCTTTATATACATTAAGCAGGAGCGTTGACCGAGAGGTCTTACCCCCTCTGTGTTACCCACGTGTTAGTACTCTTACGGTACTCTCCGTGGCCCGAGAGGCTGGCCGTGCAGACGGTGGTCATTGGTCAATGATGCGCCTACGAATCTCTTGGCAAGTCCATCGGCGACGCGACCAAGAACCAGAAATGCAAGATCCATTATGCAACTTCAAAACGAACGGTACTTCTCGATTGGCGACGCCAGCCCCTACGGGAACAGCGCTTAGGCCTTAGAGCGAGGTCTACCAACTCCGTGGAATGTCAATGATGTCTCGAATTAAATGCGAGGTTAACGGATTAGAAGAATTCTTTCCCATATATCTCCAATTAAGATCTATGAACTCCTCAATTAAGGATTTTTAGAGAAGAGGCTGCGAATGTGCTAATCGATCTCTCTTTAAGATTTCTGTGCATATACATGCCTTTTTAGACCTTTCGGATCTTTTTGATTATTCTTTTTGTGCTAATTCAAACATATATTAAAAGATATATCTATCTTATAATATATTAAATATCATATCATATATTAAAAGATATATCTATCATAAAGATATATCAAATCATATATTAAAAGATATATCTATCTTACATTGATAACAATTCTTTTTTTGTAGCAAAAAAATATATATTATTTTGCTTTTAATAATATATCATATACGCGTGAAATTTTGATCAAGTAAAACGTAATTTAATTGAAATACGTGATAATGATGATTAATTAAGAGCAAAACTTGTACGCGTGGAAGTTATTGTATTTAGAAATTTCCTATATATGTATCTCTTTTTCTCCCCTTTTTTTCTTTCTATTTTTGTTGCTCCAATAATATTCGATTGTCTCTATTTATACAACAATTTATTATGGATATTATACTCGCCTATATCACATATAAATTACAATCAAGACGCGTCTCCGTTCGATTATGAAAAGCAAATATGTCTGGCCGTTTCCTGCAGTCATTTAGAGAGCCGGTTCCAGCAATCTGGTCCTCGTGCAAACGCTTATTTACGTTTGGTTGCGAGGCAGGTGCGATCGGACAGACTGATTCTTCGCGAGGGGTAGGAGGGAGAGGAGGGGGACAAAACGAGGAATGGACATTTACTCGCGGTAATTATGCAATCGACACCGTCGAGATTGGATGTACGCGGCATACGGCGTCTTGCTGGAAGGTAGCCCACTAGTAACGGGTCTCGCTGTGTGACTTGTCTTTTTGTACAAAACCGAGAAGTCCTCGGACCGTTAGCTGGCGACGTATTTTGCGCCTCTCTTAAGGAATTCTTTGAAGAGTCTGCGAACAGCGAACCGCTACGTCTGTCTCACGAAAACAATAATTAACTCTTCGACTTCGGTGCTCTGTTATGTTTGCGTCGATGAAGCAGTCCTCAATCAAGTTAGATGACAACGTGACAAAATATTTACTGCTCGCAAGAAAGGATCTATAGATCCCGAAAGGAAAATAGTGAATTATTTAGATAAAACAAATTAATACACATGACTTTTTTCTTCTCTCTAATTATGTAAGAATTATTGAGAGGCAATAATCCAAAAGCGGCTTATTTGTGAAATTTGTGAAATAATTCGAGATAGTTCGTTCAACTAATTTATTAAAATCGATAGATTTGCTTATTAATGTTTAAATTCAAATGCAATTCTCCTATAAATTTCTATATACACGTCTCACAATCGTGCAATTAAATAGCGTAACGTTTAATCAATCACAACAGGTCCTAAAGGAATGGGGGAGGAAAATCGGCAACATATATTCGATTACGCTCGCTTCTTTTTTTATCTTGTCGTACACCAGATTCCTTCAGAATTTTTAATTTATTTTTCATAAACCTATGAACACTAAGAAAGCACACGGAGCTCGCGCCCCGCTTGGAAGATGCTTAAAATCTACAAATGTTTCACCCGGATGTCCGAATGACGAAAAGAAGACGTTAAACTTTGCACAACAGTGACGGAAGACATTGCAAATCGTAGAAAATCGACGCAAGATTTCCACAAGATTGTGCCAATTATTGTCCCTCCCTCAAATCTTTCCTTTATTGAACGTTCAATTTGTCTAATGACGAAAGAACAAATTCCGAAGAATTCTACAACGTCGAATAAACGTATCAGAAAAGTATATCGTTTCCTTTCGCATTCTCGGTCAACTCGATCGAAAGCGAAATTCGAGATCTTTGCTTATATTTTCTCCACGACGAAACACGGTCTCTCGAGAGGGACATCCGGGTGCGCGTGCGCGCTAAACATAATTAATTAACAATAAAAATAATCTGTAATGCGTAATCCTAGTGCGTTTACGGCTCGAGAAGAGGGGACGACTGATGTCGGGAGTGCGTGATAAAGGGTGGGCGAAAGGGTAAAGGGGAGAAAATGGTGATAAAAAGCTGGTTGCTTAAATTATTATAGGCGACTCGCAAGATCTTTCTTCGGCAGTCCTCCTGCCTCTTCGCGATCGCAAGATTCTCTCACTTCTCACTCTCTCTCTCTTTCTCTCTCTTGCTCACGCCGAGAGCCACGAGTCGCGCCCGTGCCATGAAAACGCCGCGGCGTCGCACGCTAAACAATAATTACTTTAGCTTTATTATCATTTAGTATCACATTACGTTCACTGTTTTGTGCTGGCCGTTTTTGCCTGGCTTCGCGAGAGCGCACACCACCCCTCCAACCTCTCTTTCCGCTCCGTTTCTTGTACGCCTCCCCGTTACGACGTTTTCTCGTAAATGAACGTCCGTAATGAAGGGAAGTGAAGGAGAAGAAAAGGCGCACCCGATCGATTTGTCGCCACCCTCGAGCAATCGCGATTTGCGAGGTCGAGCAGAAACCCGAGGATGTAATGAACAAGAGAATACCAATCGGCTGTGTTTCCGTTTCTTTCCCGCGCGCGATGCTTTATTTGACTGATACAGGACACTCTTTGAGAGAAAGCAGACCGTATAGGGGAAACTTTTTTATATAAAATTTTATATAATTTTACATTTTTTTTTAAATATATTCTTTTATTGTACACATCTCTTTTGTTATCACGGGAAGACGATAATTTACTGCAATTAGTGTATATAGTACAAACTTGCCACGCGCTTTTATTTACCTCTGTTGCAATCGACAACATATAATCAAATATATATTAAGATTGTTAAATATCCTTCAAGTACAATGCCATTTTATTTACGCGTTGCTCAACACACGTTGATTTAAAAACTAAAATATATTGCATTTATATTTAACTAAAATTATATTTGACAGCTTTTATTAGAACGTCTTTGGTATGAGCGAATCTAGATCGATGGTACATTCAGTTTAGAGCGTCTATATCATATTCTAATTTCTGTACAATACACATATATCCAATTTATTTCTTCATAATCGCATCTCGATCAATTGAACATCACTACATTAATATAGTCTTTTTGACTTCGTTTTTATATGGAATGTACGTATATTCTTTGAACAGAATATAAACACTTCCAACCGCGTTAATCGGCCGATTCCAGTGTGTCTCATTTCTTCTCCTCGTTTAATTTCACTTCCGAACATCTCCGAGATAGTTTTTGTACAGTTAAGGAGCAAAAAAGAGGTCGAGGCCCTTCTTCAAGGCACCTTAGGTAATAATAATGCCTACCTAGAGAAGAAAAAAAAAATATGACGTCCTGCGCCAAACAAACGTAAAATTAGAGAAAAGAAAGCTACTACTTACAACGATCTAACTAGCCTTACGAAAGAGATTGAATTAATTCGAATGAATCTTAAAATCGTCTACGTGAATTTATTAACGTTTCCTCCATTTCCTAAGCGAGCTCGTATCGTCATCTTAACCGCCTATGTCTCTTAAGCCTATGAACACATGAAATCACTGCCCAATCGACCAATTTGGACCCATTTGACAAGGCACTCGAGTCGCTAAGTTATTACTGAAGGATGTACTGAAGGATGTGAATGGGAATGTCAGGACGGGGATGACGATGATGGGGGACAGGCGACAATGTGGAAGACGGGATTTCAGAAGACAGAACATTAACAACGTCGATGTTTACTAGACAATAAATTGCATCAACAATTTATAAACATCACAACTGCGTCTTCCGCAATCGATTTCGCCGGTAATGTTCTCTTCCGTCCTGCTTAACATTTCGGATAATTTCATTCTCTTCCCATTTCAACATCCCGATCGAATACTTTCGCGTTCGCGATCGAAAAAAAATCGTTACAATTCTATAAACTGCTAGCTCGTGGCGATTGGCGGGCAGGACACCTAAGATCTACCTAAGACAGAAATCGGTGGAAAGTCAGTTGGTCCCATTTGCATTAGCATGAAATAAATAAATTCTAGTCCGTCCTCTCGTTCCTATTTAACATTATTTACATTGTAAAATTACTTTGCACGCGCTGAGGTAAACTTCTTGCCGAATTTGCCGCGTGCGGCGATTAAAATAAAATAACAACAAACAAGGCGCGACAAAGAGACGCGACTGCGCTTTTAAATCCTATACAAGCTTGTCAAGATTTGGCGCATGACAATAATTGACTCTCTGTTCGTTCATATTATCGTCCTTGTACTTTTCACAAATCGTCTTCGATGATTTGTCTTCATTCCCGACTCGACGTACTCGAAGACCACGTCGATTATTAATAAAGGCATCTTATCAAAGTTATTGCTTAGCCATAACGATAAGATACTTTCTGAAAAGTCGTAATTGAGCGACTTCGATATAGGGAAGAGTTACAATTGTATATATAAATTGATTCTTTTTTTTTTTATTCTTAGGAAAGACCCTCTTCCGGTGCTGCATGCCGTCTGTCTTCAGAGAAAACTTAAAATTTTGACGTTTTATCGAATCAATATTTCTCCTTTTTTTAAAGGTAAATTTCATAATTATATATACAACTAAATTGAAAGAATATATAGCTACTCGCGAGATAATAATTTTATATATGTACAATTCTTTTTTTTATATTCTTTTCTTATTAAAAAAAACATCATTTTATTCATGCTTTTGGAATAGAAATTATTATTAACCCAGCAAATATCGATTATAACTAACCATGTAACATAGCTGTAAAACATACATATTTACGTAAATGTTGTATAGTAATTATATCTATATTTGCTGGATAATAATTAATTAAGCAATAAATATGAAGACAAACAGCAGTATTTACAAATAAATTTTGTTCAGACCATGTAAATTTGTTTTCCAATATCATATTAAACCAATCATTTTTTTGTTCTTGCTTTACATCTAACTGTATTTTGTCTGTAGTATAAAAAGGACATATTCCATTATATACAGATCAAAATATCATACAAAAATTGTTATAACTTTCAATAGTTGAAAATCATTGCAAATGGTGGAATAACTCGAACAATTACATGATAGAGTATCTAAAATTATTGCGCACAAAGAATCTTCGTTGCTTTCCAGTAATACGACAAAAAAACCTGGGAAATTACCTGTCTGTGTGGAGAGACAAGTAATTAATAGATCTTATTAAAGATATTTTTTGAGAAATATTTTTCGAAATAGAAAGATGATTGGAAAATATATAATTATATAGATAATTATATACTTTTTTGTGTATCACAAGTAGGGAAGACTCAGCGATAATTTTAAATATCTCATTTTACAGAAATTAAAACAGTTTTTAAAACAGTCTGAACAAAAATTGAGTGTCTCGATCGCATCCTCCTCAACGAGATCCTAAGAGCGTGAGATAAACTGCTCGAGAAACTCGTCATTGCGCACTCGAGGAACACTCCTCAGCACCGGACGGCCTTTGACTTCGTCGCTATTCGTGATTCGTGAATTCACGATGTAGATTTCTGCTTAGTAGCAGATTGTTGTGCGGTCCCGAGAGATGCCTGATGAGGTCCTGCAAATTAACGAAGTTCGACGACGAGCAAAAGCAACACGAGAACGTATTGTCGGGCGCGGCTATTACACCTCGGTGCACCGAGCAAAGGTGCTTCAGCAAGTGGGCTTTCTGCTTGAACATGGCAACGCAAAGTCTACACGCGAAAGGCTTCTCGCCCGTGTGCACTCTTAAATGGGTCTTCAGGTTCCATGACATGCCGAACTGCTTGCCGCAGTAGCTGCATCGATACTCTCGCACAGGGGTGGACTTCGGCGGGTCGTCCGTTGACGGTGGCGGCGGCGGAGCTCTGGTGGGTGGCAGAGTCCAGCCGGTCCAAGGTGGCTCCAGAACCGCCGCTGACGTCGGATCGGCGCTCGGCGGTCGATGTGACGGCGGTGTCACCGATCTATCCTGCTGCACATCAATAACGCCTCGTAAATATACGGAAAAATCGCGCAACGTACATACATCTATATTGCAATATCGAAAATGTTTGAAAAAAATATGAGACAGATGTCAGAGAAGCTTATTTTTGATCGCGCACGTTTATCGATAATAAATGATATCGAGAGAGAGAGAAACTATTAAAAACCAACCAGGTACGGTGGTGCCGAAACGCTCAGGGGATGTGGCGCCTGCAACCTTCTGGGCGTCTCGAATCCAGGATTGAAAGGCACGAAGGCCGGATTTTGTGCGGGAGCGTTGTGGAAGCCCGGCCGTCGCTTTCGATGAGGCGTCACGACATACGCCTCCGCAGGTGGGATTGGTAATTCGTCGAGTTTCCTCTTTCCAGATTCTAAGCCTAACGCCAACCGCGTTGCCAACTGCCTCTTCCGCTCTTCTGCTTCCTCAAGAGATTCTCGCCTCTCGAATATCGGCTTCTCAGACCTGCGACGATTAAATCATCCCGTCATGAGAATTTGTTCTGTTCCCCCCCAGGTTCTGTCGAGTGTAGCTTACAATATTACGAAATTAGCTTGGACAGTTTTTACATACTAGAGTGTCGTAATGATTATGTGATGGTCAACGTTATCTAACCTGTGTATTATGTCGTGCGAACTGTCGCTTGTGACGGAAGTGCCGGAATTGAGACTGAGATTAACAGGATCGGAGCTATCCCTTCTCCTAGGAGGCTCGATGCTACTCTCTCTGTTTTCCGAGAGAAGACTTTCACCTTCCACACCTTCCACATCCACTTCCGGCTCCTCTTCGCAGCCTTCCGTTTTAATAAGGACTGAGCAACAGTCCGCGGGATTGTTGGACTGTCTGAAAGGCATAAGATTTTTAAAACATTTCATCTGACGTTTATTTATTTATTAATTTTTTTATTTACGCCAACTCAGTAAATCACAAAATTTATCTGCCCACCTGCCATCGTATTGGGATTCGTAACTGGAACTCTCCTGGCCTTCTGAGGGCTGTGGAGTTGATATTCTGTCGGGATCAGAGTTGCTAGTTTGAGGCTGATTGGGCTCAAATAACTCCGACTTAATCTGTAAAAGCTCAAAGAGCTCTCTTAACGGCGTCAGCTCTGTCGACTGAATGAAAAGATAAAATTGCGTTAATAAAATTCCGCACAGCACATTTCAAACACTTGAAATATTTTCAAAATGTTAATAAAAAATTTTTCTTTCGAAATATTCTGTTTGCATGCTAAAACTTATATATCGTGACTTGAAATTCATACCGGTATCAGCGCCTCTCCGTTGTATAAAAACTCCAACAAATGATTTAATTGAGTCTTTCGGACGCCTGATAAGTGAACCACGTGGTCCAGGGCAGGATTCCGAAGTAGACTAGCTAAAAGGGGACTGGCGGCTGCCAAAACGACACGATGGGCCTTCACGATGGACCCATCGTCGCACGCCAGGGTCACGTCCACGTGACGGTCCCCGCTGTACCAGGCCCCGACCTCTGCGGCCAAGGTCGCTGGATGTTTCCCATAGTGGAGCGTCAGGAGACCGTCAGAATACATCGTCTGAAACAAGAATAAAAAAAAAACGTTAACATTCATGATCGGATAGATTTTTGTGTTGATTTAAAATTAGCATCGAATACATCATTCATAAGGGAAAGAAATTGAAAATGAACAAGAAACAGACAAATAACGAGGCACTTTTAAAATCTAATTGAAATTTTGTCAATACTTTTTAGCTAAATTATCAAAATGTTAAAAATTTATAAGTAACACGTGCAACTATAATTAAACTTTCGTAGAGAGAAAAGATCTAAATAGATTTAAAAAATTCTAAAATAGTATTTGTAAATAAAAGGTACAGTAATAACCTTGGCACATCTTTATCTCGCGATAAAAAATTAGCCAATTACGTACACAATTCGATTTATTGATAAATTAAAAAATCGAGCTCTTAGACGTAGCGTGCGATTATGGTAAGAAATTATTTGACAAAAAATGCATCCCGCGTCCTTAACCCAATAAGTGGTCTCGCCGCCTTGCGTGTCGCGATGACAGCTTCGTTACACTAATTTCCTCCTTTCGTGTCTTGGTTCTCTAAGAAACGGCGGAAGAGACACTGACGTGTCACAAGATCATGTTTCTCACGTTTCTCTTACATCTACGCAGCTCTCGGTTGACCATGTCAAACATGTTTAACGATGCGATATGCAATTATCTAGTTAGACGGTCTAAAACCCCTCACGCATTTATTTTATTTTCATCGTAAATTTAATTACATCTTTTTCAAATATCCTGTAAGTTTACAAGGATGCAGATATAAACACAATTATCTTCTTTACTTCGTAAATCATGAAAATTAATATTTCATACGGTATTGAGAATTTTATATAATAGAGAATTTTATTTTAATTTAATTTTTATATTGCACATTAAACTATTAATAATAGCGTAGCACGAATCGAATAGAAGCTCTCGAATATTTCATGTATTCTCTCGTAATATGATTAATCAAATTAATATTATGTAATATGAACTATGATGCAATTGTATCTGATTAAGGTTTTTGAATATGATTTACGAACCTGTCTTACTGGAAATTCTTCTAATTCTATTAGTTATCAGAGAGAAACTACCTGTTCTGCCTGTAGAATCCGGTTCTATTTTCTCACTAGGTATCGACCAATCGAACATAATTCGCTCCTAATTAGCACTTATTTCAGAAAACAATTGATGGATTGTCATTATGACATAATCTTGTAATACTAAGCGTAAAAGAAAAAAAACATTTGACTAATACAATATCGAGCGCGCAAGAAATATCCCATTCATCCGTGTCGGAGATTTGCAACAGTTTAACGCGGCCACGGCTAAGAATTGAGAATTAACGGCTGATCGAGCATTCCTTCGGTTTCTCAAGGGAAGCCGAGAGAGAGAGAGAGAGAGAGAGAGAGAAAGTCCGGTTTCACATTATATTCTCAAAAGGAGCAAACGTATAACTAATATTATGAAACGAATTCCGCAATGTCAAACGTGTCTCGAGAATACGATCCGTTCAATACTGAAAATAAACGCTTACTGGCTTGTCGCAAACTTTCATTTTTGTCGTATTATGTGGGAATAAAAAGTACATACACGAAAAAAGATATTTAAATAATAAAATAATGTATCTTAAATTTCACTTAAGAGATATTATCTTTTGAGAAAATATATCGATAAATTAATATATTCGATATACAGAATTAATATAATAATATTTGAATTGAAACGAACGAATTGATCATTTCTAAAAGATCAATTCTTTCTTACTGCTGAGAAGCAATAATTATGCAAAGTGTTAAAGAAAAAATTTTAAGAGAATAAAAGAAATGATGTATCTCGACGCGTGTAATTCAGGATTGTAGAGCGGCGAGGTAATGACGCGTAGTGCGATCTAAGAGCATCTCGCATTTGCTGCCGTGACCTTCAATCGATTGTTCGATCGAATTCGAAAGGGAAGGCCTTGGGTAAGAGTCACGAAGATGGTGCTGAATCTATATATCATGGAATTCTAAATCGTCGAAAGTAGCGCGACGGGTTCTCGTCGAATTTGACGAATTAGATATGCATACAGATTCGCGCCGGCTGGGCTACCGCGTTTATTTATTCTCAGATAACGTCTCATCGTAACGAATTCCATTCGTATTAGACGTCGCGCAAAGCGCCGCGTTACGTAACCGGAAAATTTATATCTACCTGCGAGTCACAGTGCTTGCATAAGAAAATCATTTCGTTGAACACCTCGCGCGCGATGGACCAATGACGGGGAAACTACATGTCGTACGCTTACATAAATCACATAACTATCTTATTCTTATCTTAATATTACGAAAGCAATGTCGTAAATAAAACGAAAGCAAAAGAACAGGCAAAGCTTATATTTTTCTCTCTTTTTTTTTCCTTCGCATCCGGATATCATATGTGTATACATTCATTTTTACGCACGCGCGGAGTCACGCGTAATAAATTAACGAAATATACGGAACATCAATTTTTCTTGTAACGAGCTTTTCGCGTGCGTGCATCGCGCCGCTACGTCGGTCCGAGAGGACGACGTTCATCCGTAACGAGAGAAGTCAGGAACGATTTGAAGCAATCTATAAAAAAAAAAAAAGACAAGTTCTTCGGATAAGAGTTACGGCGGCGCGGCGGCAACCGCACAGCCGTATAAACGCTCACTCGTATGCGTAATAAACTCGCCGGCGTGATACCGAGAAAATCGCTAAATAAGGAAATCATTGCTGGACGCCGCCGACGTTGCTGCCGCTGCTTCTGGCCGCTACTGGAAATGCTAGTAAGCAAGCGGCTGAAGTTCAGGGTCAATCCGTACTGGCCGGCAGGCCGGATTACGTTCGCGCTTACGCGCTCACGCGTTCTTCTTTCTTCTTCTATTTGGGCCTTGAAGAGTTGCCGGGCAGGGTCTCGTGCCGCGCGTTTCACGCGGACGTAACAGACGACTGGACGAAGTGTTACCCACGAAGCCGAGAAACGCAAGTGGAGACCGCCGAGCGGGCCGTATATTGTGCGTTCAAACGACATCAAATGCAAATACGGCAGCCGGTATTGTTCCGCCGAGTTTGGATTCTGATTGTGGACATAGGCGACAGATAAGTGGTGGCGTTTGGCCTTTCCCGGCAAGAAAAATGCGCGAGAAAAGTCGGATTCGTAATTTTCAAATTACATCGACTTTAAACCCCGCGATTGCGCTTCATTCGAGATATAAAATAGCCATGCGATGAATGAACTCTCCACCTTATAATTTTTTCGAGGCTTTATGACTATTTTTTAAGACTCTTCCTTTCGTTCGATTATTTATATTACGTTCACGTAGGAAGTTAAATTCTATATAGAAAGTGCTATGCGAAACAGGAAGAACCAGAGTCGCGCGCTTTTACCGGTCAAGCCACGCTTCTGATCGTTTTCTGCGCGTGCTGTGCTGTACTCTGCTGTGCTAGAACAAAACTGCCGTCCGAACCGAGTACCTCGAGTGCACGATGTCGGTAAAATTCGTTTCACTTTAACGTCGGTTGATATTTCATGTAAGATACTGAGGAGAAACTTTAATTTGAAATTTAATTGCTCCAAAAACAAATTATGATGCTATTTTATCTTAGATTGTGCAATACAATAAAAGAATATGTAATTTCTTTTTAATTAATAGTATAAATTGGAACAATTTTTTGTTTATTAAAGATTGTAAAATTTTTTTCGTGGACATAACAACAAATTACATCAACGACAAGTTATCTTTTTATTTTATTTTATACAAGAGATTGCTATTTCAAAGTTTATCGAAATCAAATGTGATGGCTCCAATTTACTTTTACCTATTTATCTCAATGTATCTCAAAATCCAAATACAGCACACAGTTATAAAATTTAAAAGTGAAACATTAGGCAGGAATAATTCAATTTTGATTAGATTTAGAAGTATCATATGTTAATTATCTAAGCATTGATCAAATTTAATGAAATCAACAATGAACTCTTCGCATTTAAAAATTTGGAAGAAAATGAAAATAGATTTTACACAAAGATCGCTTTGCAATTTCCATTTCTTTATTATATATATGTCAAAAACTGACACACTCGTTGCGCTTTCATAATTGCTTGCGATGAATCATTCCTGGAATCGAACCTGCAGCATGCTGGCAGTGACGAAAAAGAGAAAAGTGTCGCAGTGTAAAACTGGCGCGCAGACGGTTCCTGAGGTCGGGACCTTAGATAAGAGGAGAAAGTCAATGAATTCGTAAATTCTACCGGCGTCGCCGCACGCTTATCGCTGCTATGTGCGCAAGCACGCATGTAGTTTCGTATAATATGCGTGTGCATACGTATGAGTGTACTTTCGTCTGCGGCAGTGATGCACACGTGTGCGCACGCACACACACACATATACGGGCACTCATACACAGAAACACACATACACACACATACACATACAAGAGGCGACGATGCGCGGTACCACGTACACGCGAGCATTATAATCTCCTATCCGGATGGCGGACGTTACGATCTACCATTGAATCGAACAATGGCGAAACTGGGTTACGCAAATGTCGAGGCTGGAAATTAAAGCGCGAGACACCGGGGGGTTTAGCGGGAGGGAGAATGCGCGTCGCGGCCGAGCGATGAAAAAGATCGCGCGCCGTTGAAAAACGCACGCTTAATCGTAGGAAACGAGCGGTTCGTTAAACTCGATTGCAAAATTTTTGCGAATGTACATATAGATGTGCCTGGATACTATACGTTGCATTTTTTTTTTTTACCTGCGATCCCGAATCTGATCTTGTGAGCAAACTGAATTCGATACTTTCCTATATAACGCAAGTGTTAAGGAAATTGAATTGTTGAACAGTTGAAAAAGGAAAAGTACATTTTACTTTCAAATTAAAATCTCCCCGAATGTTTCGAACGAATAATCAATTATTTTTCAGTAGTTATTAAACGAGTCATATTTTAACAAATAGCTGCCATTCTTCGAATTACGAAGAATGGCAGCATCTATTTATTTAAGAAAAAAA